ACCACGGCGTGCCCACCCACAGGCCACGTCGTGACAGCTTCACAACAAAACAGTCGCGACCCGACCAACCACCACGTCGTGGAAAGCATGCCACCACGCCGTTGCAACAACCCAAACAAATCAGTCGCGAAAAACCACCTCCTCCATGGCGTGGTAAGCATGATGTCACACCGTGGGAACTGCTCCTGGCAAGGTTGTAGAACTCGCTACTCAGTACCTATTCGGCCAACCGCCGAGTAGCAAGTACTCGGGGAGTACTCGGATTTGGTAATTCATGTAGAAATATTTTTGGGGAATTATATATGTAAAAATCATAAGTTGATTGAAATATATAACAAAATTAGATACATGTGAATACATAAAAACTGAAAAACACACAATGGTCTCCCTTCGTGAATAATTACTGAAAATTTAAGATTGATATATATATATATATATATATATATATATATATATATATATATATGTGTGTGTGTGTGTGTGTGTAGTAATAATCACATGTGTGTGTTACATAATAAATCAGTAAGTATATTATACATATTAATCACCGAGTTGGCCAAGTTTTACAACATTGCTCGCTTCAGTTTGGGGCCGATCGGGGAGTACTCGGATTTGTTAACTCGCATCAGTAAGGGGACGAGTAGGGAGTACTCGACCGAGTAATCGGCCAACTTGGTGAGTTTTACAACACTGGCTTCTGGACAGCTTAATGGTCGAAGCCCTTAATCCATTAAGTCACACTATCATATCTTCCAGAAAGCTTCCTAACGTCCATAAGCTTCATAAAAACCCTTTTTTATGGACATGGATGTCCAATGTATGTCTTGAACTTGGTTAGGTCAAAATGGTGAAAATGAGGTCAAAACCTCATGAATGGAACCAAAACTCAACCATTATTCAGATCTGGAACACTAAACCTCAAAGGGACCTCAAGGATCCATAAAGTTACCAATTTTATGGAATCCATCCATTCAAACTCTCCCAAAAATGGAGAAAAATGCATAAAATCCTAGATCTAGAAGCATAACACATAAAGATTGGAACTTGAGGACTTACAACGGTCAAAAATAAATACTTCAAGGTGGTGAGGGAACTTGCTTGCTGGATTTTTGCTCAAGGGACACGTTCTTCTTCTTCAATATCACCAAAAACCACCAAAAAAAAGCTTCAATAACTCAACAATGGAGGCTAGGGTTTGATCTAGGTCAAGTGGGAGTGATGGAGGCTGAGGTGAGAAAACCCTAACCATCACATCCTTTAAATAGGGGCACAAACTCCAAAAATTAGGGTTTTTTCATAAAACGACTTCCACGTCGTGGCTAATACATTGTTATGTTGTGACACGCACCAAAAACATGCGTTTCTCAACAGGTGAGACCACGTCATAGTGTATTCACCCACCACGTCATGGCCAACCAAAACTTCATATATAAGTCTTTAAATGCCAAAAACATAAAGGAAATATGCACATGGAACTTGGTGTTACAATTCTCCCCCACTTAAACTGAATTTCGTCCTCAAAATCTGACTCGGTTAGAATTTCTGGAAACCGCACTAACATAATTCATATGCTCTCTCCAACCACTTCATCACATTAATGCATCCAAATTGAAAACTCGAGAGACCATACGACCCCACTCATAGCGAAACTACTCAAACCGGGAAAAATCTCGAATCTGCGACTAAACCAATTCATACTTCACAAAATCGGGAGTTCATCAACCTAAAATTCCAGGGACGTACCTAATGGTTGATCGAGGTGAGTTTGCTCACTATACTGTAGGACACTAGGGATTAAATGTACGTGGAGTCTTTATGACTCCTGTTGTATGTTTGTATGCATGTGTGCATGTTTGCTATATGTATGTGGGGTGAAATAGACCCGTGGTGAAATAGACTCGTACGGTTGAAAAATACCGATTGAGTTAAAATAGACTCGAGGGTAAAATAGACCCGGGGGTGAAATAGACTTGGTACAACCTTGTGCTGACATATGAGTTGAAATTGACTTAGGAGGTGAAATAGATCCAGGGGTGAAATAGATCCAGGGGAAATAGACCCGGGGGTGAAATAGACTTGGTACAACCTTGTGCTGACATATGAGTTGAAATTGACTCAGGGGGTGAAATAGATCCAGGGGTGAAATAGACCTGGTATAGCCTTGAGTTGACGTATATCTATAGTATGCAGTATTTTGGGAAACTCACTAAGCTTTGTGCTTACGGTTTTCATTTTATGTTTTAGGTACTTCCGGTTCGAAGAGCTCAGAATGATCACAATGCACACACCATGATTTTCCGCTCTACTTGACTCTGATGTATTTTAGATGATTGTTGATATACTCTGATTTCCTTTACGGTTTCTATAAACAATGTTTGGTTGATGGTTTTATTATTACAAAAACAAAATTTTTGGGACGTTACATAGACCCGATACCGGTTGAAAGAGATCGAAGATAGTGAAATAGACTCAGTACCGGTTGAAAGAGACCGAAGGAGGTGAAATAAACCCAATAGCGGTTGAAAGAGACTGAAGGGGTGAAATAGGCCCAATACCGGTTGAAAGAGACTAAAGGGGGTGAAATAGACCCAGTACCGGTTGAAAGAGACCGAAGGGGGTGAAATAGACTCAATTATTTTTTGTATTGTTATGTATGTATGGTATTTTGGGGAACTCACTAAGCTTTGTGTTTACAGTTTATGTTTAAAATGTTTTTAGGTACTTCTGGTTTCAAAAGGAAAGGTCCGACTTGATCACATTGCATCTCCTGAAGATTTATTTCGCATTGAATTTTTTTATTTTACTCTGATGTTTTGAAAATACTTTTATTATGACTGCCTTTTTGGGATAATGAATGAAGGGTTTTGACTTATTTAAAATGAAATTTTTACTCGAAAATTTTGGGACGTTACACAATTAATAATTCGTTTCATTTTAAGTTAAGCCTTACTTTAGCTTCTTTAGGGGTTATTACTTTTTTGGTAGCTCAACACATGTAATCTTTACCCATTGGCGAGTCTATTATATCACAAGGTGGGTCCTTTGACCCATCTAATTTTTCAATATTTACTACAAATTATATATCCAAAAAAATTAAGATCTACATTAAAAATAATAATAATAATAATAATAAGGGCCTATCTTGTGTTGAACAAGAAAGAGGAAGAAAAGAGAAGGGATATGTTTAAAGAATTTCGTTAATTTTTACGGCTAGTTGTGACTTAGCTAATAAGTTAAAAGATGATTGCTCTGGGCACTTTTTATTCTAAATTTGCTTTTACAGTTGTTTTTTAAAATACAATACATATATTTATAAATATCCTTGTTTTTAAAGGTCTAACCGGTCCGATTGAACCAATTTTTTTGGCAAACCAGTTACCTTCCACTAATTGCAAACAAGCGGATTTTTTTAGATAAAAAACTGGAAACAAGAACGGTTCCCGCTTCAATTGATCGAACCGACTGTTGCGGTTCGATTTTCAAAACTATACTTTTATCGGTTTGAACATTGGTTAGGGAACCACGTTAAATTTTATTCTAGACTCGTCAGTGTCTTTACCCGCTTATGCATTTATAGCACAATATTTTACTACTCAAGCCGCATTATAATGGAATTGCTCCGTTGATAGATCTAGATTTGCATCCGCCCATCTAAGAGATTTCTTCAAGCCGGGTTGTGAGCTATGTGGAACGATTAAAAAAATGGGATTTGTTGGGCTTTCACAAACACACAGACTAATATACTCCTAACACTTCTTAATTCTAGCTATCTTGCAAACCGAATTTGAACCTTCATCCTAATGAAATGAAAACACATTACCATTATAATAAATATAATAAAAAAATTCATTATATTTTTTCTTTAAAAGTCAACTGTCTGTTTCAACAAAGTCAATGGAAATAGTAATTGGTAGAGCATCTCTATTTTTATACTCTCGTACCCATGATTGCCAACTAACCCGTCCATGGCTCCATGCCCAGGTACATATGTATGTATGTAATATGGTTTTTAAATTTGTACCATCCAGAAAATGGTGTATGTAATATGTAGAACAAAAAATGCATTGACATATTGTTGGTTGATCCATATCATTTTTATGTCAGTTTACATATTGATTATTTTTTTAGGAAACTTCTAATCATAAATTTTGTTTTATGACAAACAATAGAGATAATTGTATGAAACTATATGCAATGAGATAACAAAAACACAACACATATATTAGTGTAAGTCGAGGTCTATCTTTGACACAATTTTCTTAAAACAAATCCGTCCCACATTTGGGGTATGTTTCTCAGAATACAACTATTACCAACAGTTTTACAAACTGTTGAGCTCAACAATGTCCGAACATTAATTTGGCGTGATGCCAGATAAATCCTACAATAGTATATGGAGAAGACAGGAGAGCGTTATATGTTTTTTTCGTGTGTCAAAATGGTTCTAACCGGTTGTTCATAAATGCACACATTTAGTCCTTATTCTTTTTTTTTTGTAAAATAAACCCTTATACTTTATTAATATGTACACATTAGATCCTTTTCACCGGATTCTACAGGTTTTGCTGATGTGGAAGCACAAGTGACACTAAATAGCAATTAATTAGCTTAGTCACCGGAGGTGGGTGATCCTCCAGCAACAAGAAAAGGGCGGCGACCCTTCTCTTTCTCGTCTCTCTTCCTTCCGGTCGAACAGCAACAACCAAACACCCTTTACCTGTTGTGTTTCTCCGATCTGTCTCTCTTTGCCTCCATCTTTGAGATATGTTGCCAGAAAAAGAAGAAAGAATCGACGAGGGGGCTACCAGAGCAGCTCCTCGCCGCCAACTACCGTCTCTACTTCCTCCTGCCTCCCCCTTCGACCTTGTTGTTTTTGCCATCATTCCTCCTTGCTACCAGTGATGTGTAGGAACACACAAAGGAGTCGCCGGAGATCGGGGTTCTCCCTCTTTTTCATGATGAATAAAAGTTGGAAAAATTTCGTTGTGGATATGTGGATGTCACCTGGGTATTTCATTTCAACAAAATAAAAGAAAGAGAAAAATGACTTGATAGGGTAAGATACTTTTTGAAATGTACACATTTAGTCATTATTATTTTTTTTTTTTTGTAAAATAAACCCTTCCACGTCAGCAAAACCTGTAGAATCCGGTGAAAATGACCTAATGTGTACATATTAATAAAATATAAGGGTTTATTTTACAAAAAAAAGAATAAGGACTAAATGTATACATTTCAAAAAGTATCTTACCCTATCAAGTTATTATCCCCATTAACAATGTCATGTCTATTTTAACTAATTAACATAAACTGTCCATTGAGAACATTATTTGTCTATCTGATATTCACAGAAATTGAGATAGAAATAGTTTTTGCTTAATATTTTTATCAACGAATTACAGGATAACTAAACTAACAATAGTATTTATAAAATTATAAAAAAAAATATAATATCTGGGCAATGAATTTCAAGGGAAATAAACTCAAAAAGTGTATAAAAAGGGGGGATATATTTATATTTCATAATTACAACTTTGGAGATGAAAGTACATGAAGTTGGGCATAGTCACTCTTTTTCTCTCTTCTTCAAGTGATTTTCTGGGGCAAAAGAGACATTTACCTCGTTTATAAAAAAACATAGGCGAAAATTTAAAAAAAAAATGTCAAATCTGTCCACAAGAAAATAAAAAAGCGGAAGAAAAGAGTAGTAAATAAACCCAACAACTTTTTTTCAAAAAAAAAAAAATTACTCCTCAAAGATGCTCTCAAGATGAGGCCGCCATTCGCCGCCCTGAACAGTCCGGCGAGCTCTCCGGTGCCCTAGCTTCTTCTTCTCCGACACCACAACAACATCTGAAGAATTCAAAGGAACAGTGTTTTCTCCGGTGGACACATCGGCCGGTTGCCCAACCGCTACCGTAGGTATCTTCTTGGGCTTTTTCGGATCTTTTTTCTGCGGGTTTCTCTTGTTTTCCGGCACGGAGGAGGAAGGTATCAAGAAATAAATGCTGCCTCTTTTAAGCTCGGAACTGTTCGAAAGGATCAAGATTCGCCGGACAACGCCCTGAGAACATGGTTTGCTTAAGACATGATTAGGGTAGTTCTTCAGAACCTCGCCGGCGGTCACCGGACGTGTGATTTCTTCAACGTAGCCATTTAAATGCACTATTCGGATCAAATCAAGAGCACCGCAAGGAAGAACACAGGCCAAACAACACCTTAAACTGTTTCCCATGGAGATCGATATTCTTGTTTAATTAAATTTCAAGACTTCTGATTTGATTTCTGTGGATGAAGTCGTCGGATATGACTTATGAAGGAGGTGATGAGGAAGATGGATTTATAGAGGGGAACCGTACAGGTGATCATGGGGTCCGAAGAGTAATATGATAAGTGATGATGGCTAAAATGACAAAAAGGCCCCTGGCATGCTAGTGCACATTTCTTGGATCTTACATTATTATTGCCCCTCAAAAAAATAGTCATTATATATTATTGATTATTCTTTTTGTATATTTAAGTTACGTGATTAGTTGTAGTTATGATTGGTTTCATTATCTTAAGAGGTTTAGATTATACATATTTATGCTAAATTTGGTAACATTTATTGAAAACCCTCCATTGTTCGGTGAATATTCAATGCATATGTATTTATTATAAAATTTAGGTTGTCTTTGGCGTTACCTATGAAAATTTAGTTATTTTAGTTTATAGATTAGTTTATTAATAATTATGTTAAATGCTTATTAAAATGTTGGTTTATAAATTAGTTTATAAATTACGATAAATTGATTTTCTATATCACTAAATACTAAATTACAATAAGTTTAAAATACAAGTTAATGTATATCTGTCAAACACAACCAATGACGGATGCAGGAATTACGGTTGTAATTACATCTTACACTAGTAGTTGCATATATATTTTTTAGTGGATGTACCTTAATAGAAAAATAAAAATTTACATTACGATATAAAATCGAGTAGTGATTCAGGTCCCCCAGAAGACCCCTAAATCCGCCACTAAACACAACCTTACTAAAATACTAAAATTAATGTTATTTATTCATTTTATTTTAGGTAAACAAGTAGACCTAGTAAGAATATGTTACCATGGTAATTTTATTGTGGATACTTGATAATGTGTCAATTGTCAAAATATCAAATTAATGTTATTTATTCATTTTATTTTAGGTAAACAAGCAGACCTAGTAAGAATATGTTACTATGGTAATTTTATTGTGGATACTTGATAATGTGTCAATTGTCAAAATATCATATCTTTAAAATTTAATGTCTTTTAAAACATAGACTTGTTTTGTTACTAAAAAAATTGTTTGAAAATCATTGTCTTTTTTTATAACTTGTATTTAAGTAATTACGAATAGTACAATGGAAAACTTCTTTGTAAGTAATAATAAAAAACTAAAACTAAAAAAAAAATATGTATACGAATAAAGATGTAACATTAAAATATGATAAATGATCAAAATCGTAACTTATAAAATACCAATAATTTAGCTTTAAAATTATGAATGATAAAAATTATTAGACCAAAATTTTTTAAAGGTAAAAAGTGTAATTGTGAAATTTTATTATGATTAGATGCAAAATTTATATTTTCTATAGAGAGATATTTATTTTGCATCTTGTATTATATATTAAAAAAGTTATAATATGGTATGAATATAACTGTTTTTAGTCTAGAAAAAATAAAACCAAATGGACGGTAATTTCCCCTCAAAAATCATACTTATTTGGTAATTATTGTAAAGAATTTTAATATTTGAATATTTACATGACAAAATTGCAAAAATGGTCTTTGTGGTATGCATTTTTTTGGGGTTTTAGTCCAAACCCCGATTTTTTTTGGATTCGTGGTCCTTTTGAGCTAGTTTCATTGCGTTTTTAGTCCCTACGAATAGTGAAATGACTGTAATACCCTTAGGGTATTTATTTTCCATTTTTCTTTTATTTCTTTTTAAATCTAATACTAATTTATTTATTTTAATAATTAAAAAAATAAAAAGGGGCCCACATTCTCTCTCTCTCTCTCTCTCTCTCTCTCTCTCTCTCTCTCTCTCTCTCTCCTCTCTCTCTCTCTCTCTCTCTCTCTCTCTCTCTCTCTCTCTCTCTCTCTCTCTCTCTCTCTCTCCTGAAGAATCTCATCTTCTTTGTATTCTTCATACATCCCCAAATCAACACCATAACTCTTCTTCTTCTAGAATCAGTAGTTATACACTCAAGAGGTTGTTTAGGTATAAATATTACAACATCAGGTAGCGGTGATTTTCGGGGGTAGTGTTCTTTATGTTTTTTTATGGTGAAACAGGTTAATTAGGTTCAGATTGATAGAGAAGATGATGGGTTGTTTGAAGTGTTCTGGTTGTGAAACAGGTTATTGCACCCCGCCCTCCCCTCTTCGGTCACCCCTCTCTCCAATTTGTTGTAAAAGATTAGATGATGATTAAGATTCACTGAAGAATCAAATATATATCCCAAAATTGTAATACCTTCAAGTCCTACAATTAAACCCAAAATTGATTTCAAATTAAACCAAAAATCGATTTCATGGCTTCTCAGCTAAGCTTTCTGATGTAGAGGCTTCTAATCTTGAATATGCTTTTGGGCTTCTCTCGGTTATTCCTGAACAAGTTCGTCATCTTCATAGCAAAACCAAATCAAACGAAACCCAGATCAAACAAAACCAAAACATGAAACACAAATCACTGAAACCGGACCTATAACAAAAACTGTAGAAACAAAAATCAAAACCGGACCTATAACAAAGCATGAAACACAAATCATCGGTCTTGCTCTCGTTTCTTTGTTACCGGCGACGTTCGTCGGTGAGACGGGGAAGGAGTGGCGGAGCAATGGTTGTGGGGTGCAATACCGGACCAGAGGAGGGCGATGGAAGGTGGTGCGGTGGGTGCCTCAAGATCGTCGGAGGTGGCAGCCATTCATATTCGCTGAAGTTGAGATCGAAAGAAAAAAATGAGATGTGTGCTTTATTGAGAGAGAGAGAGAGAGAGAGATGTGGGCCCCAAATTAATTAATTATTTTATTTTTAATTTAAATTAAGTAGAAAAAACGTAAAAAAATATATCAGAAGGGCATAATAGTCTTTTTAGTTTACCGAGGGACCAAAAACACAAAGAAACCAGCTCAAAATGACCACCAATCCAAAAAAGTCATGGTTTGGACTAAAACCATAAAAAAAAAATACATACCATAGGGACCATTTTTACAGTTTTGTCTATTTACATAGTTTTTCTTTTATAATAAATAGTTTTTTAAGTGGTCATTTTAGCTTTTTATTAAACTCCACCATCAGAATTCTCTTATATGATTTTTTTTTTCTATTTTTACCATGTACTTAAACACTTTTTTTTTGTGTTTTTTAGTGTCAAGTTTTTGCCAAATCACCAATCCAAAAAACTGTAAACATACATTCTGAGTTTTTCATTAAAAAAAATTATTCCACAATATTAGTCATAGACAAAATATATAAATATTTAATATAAATATATGAATATAATATCATTATTTTGTGAAAAAATCTCTACAAGCTCATTAAAAAAGCTTTCTTTGTAGCTTATTAAAATATTAAGCTTATTATTTGAAAAAACTTTAAAAAAAAGCTCCTACTATGGATGCTTTAGATGTTAAATGTTTATTATTTTTTGAGTAAATTACATGAATCGTAATTGGTGTAAGTGTCAAAATACACATTTAGTCCTTATTTTAAAAATTAACTCATATCATCTTTTATATCATTATATGCTGCAAGCTTCATCTAGATTTCATTAGCCAACTATAAAAAGACTTGTTTGTCCTTATTTATTTATATTTTGAATTATTATTTATTTGTTAATTATAAAACAATTAGGCCTACTCATTCCTATTCTCACCACCTCTTTCACCCTACCACCATCATAAAAATTAAACCTGTGTACGTATCTCATTTGTTTCACCCTCTTCCTTAACCCCATTTTATGAACCCTAAAGAGCACTGCTACACTTTGATCAACACTATCGACGACACTGATTGGCAAGTGGAAACCACAAATCGTTGCCGAAAACCCTCATCGTCAGAGCAACTGTCGGGCCATACATATGAATCTAAAAGCCAAACCATCACCGCCAAATCCACTTGTAAATCTAGAGAAACCATCACATCTCCACAGCAGCCACCACGCCTCTCTTCTCCCGTCGGTCTAAATCCCAACCCTATATAACTTAGTCGGTCACCGACAGATTTTGAAGTTGGGATTTTAGAAATCAGGGTTTGAAATCTAGGTTTCAAAAATTAGGCTTTGGAAGTTGGGATTTAAGAAATTAGGTCACAAGCGGATTTCGAAGTTGGGATTTCATTTCACTACCTCGACCTCTGTCGGAAACCACATTTTCCCCTCGTATTTAATTCTTTGAATCTAAAGTTTTGGTGTTCGGTTTCCTTTTCTGATATGCTTTCTGTGTAACTTAAGTCACGAGGTTTGATTTTTGCAAGTGAAATCAAAAGTTCTTGCCAGTGAAGACAAGCACCAGATTCCGACGAAGAGGCTTTAGAGTGACGACCACCACCATCTATATGATTTTGATTTTGATTTCAGTTATTGAACCATTTTCAGGTATGATTTTAATTTCGGAACCAATTTTAAGTTTCTTTTTTATTTTGGTTTGGTTTGGTGTTCATTATCGGTGGTTGCCAGAGGTAAAAGGTGGTTGTTGTCAGAGATGGTTTCTAGAGTTAAGAATGAGAAGAGGGAAGAGAGATATGACAATGATAGAAAGTCCATTTCATTTTCTAAACATTATAATTAATATATATATATATATATATATATATATATATATATATATATATATATATATAACAAGTAAAAATAAATAAAAAAGGCAAAATATTCATTTCACCACCAACAGTGACGAAATGTTTAATTTATAACGGTATAAAGGACGACCCAAGTTAAATTTAAAAATATTGACTAAACGCATCATGACACACTTAAACGATGGATGATTTGTGTAATAACTCTTAGTTTTGATTAATTAATCTATTTATATAAATAAATATATAGGACAAATCGCATAAAAAACCATCATTTTTTTTCAGTTATATGATTTAACCACTTAAAGAAATCATATTTTGAAAAAAAAAAAAATCCGAACATGACCCCTCTCAAATTTGTTACAAGACGACATGTTTTCACTCAAGCCACCCTAGTTTAA